AATTAAAACAACCTTGGCCAAGGGAAGACACAATAAAAATCAATAACACACAACATTAAAAGTCCTGTGGCATCCGCCACGATATAAAAGTCCAAACGGTGCAGAAACCAACAGGATTGTCGCCGTCCTGTCGGCCTCTTCATTCTGATGCCAACTAGAAAAAGGAGAGAGGGCCAGCGGCAGTCACCATTCTTAAATTCCACTGGAGGTTCGTCTTAGACGGGATGAATCGGGACTTACCCCAGATGGGCAGAGCTCCTAACTCCGCCCACCACTGTGTTGTGCTTCACACGCGTAGCCCATAGACTCGCCGTCCCGGAGACATAAGGCGCCATCCCGCTGCCTCTCTATCCCTGCCGTGGGCCTCTCTCGGCGAGGAGCTACCTCCCGTTAACACCAGCACAGACCTCTCCGCTCAGCTCCGATCACTCCCTCCAGTGCGCGGGTCGTCCGCGATCTCTGGTCTCGTTCTCCTTTGCCCGCACGCCTTAGCCAGCTGCCTATAGCCGGGCTCTGTGCCCTCTGCGCGGCCGTCGCCCACACCTGTTACCCTGCCATGTCTCTCCTCCTTTCAAGCCTCTCTCAAGCTTTTTCTCCCCCGCTGCTCTATGGTCTGCCAGGCCCTCTTATTGGCCTCTCTGGGATCTCTCGCAGGTGTGATCAGTTTACTATCAGGTAGGGGCGGAGTCTTTCCAGGACAGGTGTTCAATTTAAATAAGATAAAACATGCAATAAAGCTCATACAAACAAACCCAATATACAATATTAAAATATTAAAACAGATAAAACATTGCAAAACATGCACAATAAACTCTAAATAACTTGTCCCGTTTCCACCCCGTGACATCGATACCATGGTGATCCATAAATATGATCACCAGTTTATTTAATTATTTTTAACCCAACAAACAAATAAACAAAACATGATGCTGATGCTACACACACACGAGTCAAGGTGCAGGAAAACTGCTCACGGAAACGCTGCACACTCCAGTTATCACAGTTATCAGAGCTCTGTTTCCCTCTTTGAGGAGTTCTCAGACAGCTCTTGATCTGATAATGTGTAGCTTGCTCATCAGCTCAGAAGAAAAAAACCGCAACGCAACATCACACAGTAGTTGCATGCTCTGCCACAGTGGCAAAGTCTTACACTTTCACATTCAATACAGCTTCTCCATCATGTACTTTTAGATGTTTCATACAGGGTTCAGCATATTAGTTTTCACCAGGTGTGCTCTATATCTCAACAATGGCTCATAATAAGACGACAGGTCTTCCACACAGGTCAAGTGCCTCTATGCACATCATTAGTTTAAATATTTGCCTATATCACTTCACCTCATATGTCATTGTACTGAATTTGAGCAACCACAAGCTTAAATGTAGATTACTTTTAACAACTATCCACCTCAATTAAATCTATGGTCTGGCACACAGGCTGTTGTCGATCAGGGCAAGCTAAAGAATAAACATTTGTGTCAGCAAGGGTGGGGGAAAGCCATTCACCAGAGCACATCTCAAGTGCTGCTGATGTGGCTGGCCTTCTCCACACGCTCTTCAAGGTTGGTGTGTTTTCTGAAAACTTCTGACATTTGATCTCTTCCATTTATAAGCCTGCGATTAACCGCACGGCTCAGGTCCGCGTGAAACCCGCGCGACCGCGCTCGCGTGAACCCGCGCAGCTAAGGAGCCGTCACTCTCTCTCATTTTTATTTAAATACTTTGTGCTGCCAGGAGTAAAGTCCAGCACAAACGTCTGTCTCCCTCCGACTCACTCTTGGTTGCTTAGAAACCCATGATAACAACAACAGTCGGTGTCACAGACCACGTGTTCTGCTCCGCACACTCACACAACAACAACAACAACAACACAACAACGACAACAAACACAAAATGGCCTATTGTCCAGCACATTCTGGACCGCGCGGAACTGCTCAACGCCCCACAAAGCGGCGGGAAGAACTCACCTCTCGCTGCACAAAGTAGCGAGGAACTCACTTATCGCTCCACAAAGTAGCGAACTTCTCAACGCCTTACACAGTGGGGAGACTGCACAACCACACGGTTATAGAGTCGGGCTCTTCAACTTACTTGGTGTTGCTTAGCGTGTAATATCAGCCTCGGATCCCGCCGATCGTCATTCATCGAGGAGAAAAGACAGACAGTTAATCCACAGAACTTCCTGGCTGACGTCAGTCTTTCAGCGTGTCCCTCCTACCCTCGGTGAATGCCGATTCCAGGGCTCCGGCTCTCGAAGGACCAATTAATGATAGGTTTGTAGCTTGAACCTATTCGTTGGAACGTTGAGGACAATATAATTACACAGCGAAGCAAGACACGAAGCAAGCAAAGTTCTTCATGTTACTCATGCATGAGGGAGACCTGCCTGGAGCCAAGTGTCGTTCCACCACTTGACCTCCGTCAGACTCTCAGCCAGGTTCCCCCATAGCACTCCTTTTATTGTGGTTACATGATATTGCATAGGGTCATTAACATATAACACCTTACATAGGTATACATGTGAACAAAGAATACTGTGTATGTGTGTGTGTGTGTGGTCACTGCTTCCACTGGTCCACAGTAGAAGAGGAAGGGAGGATGCTCCAAACATGGGGTCTCAGCCACTCCTCACACTCTGCTCTCGCTCTCAGCTCACTCACGCTCAATTCCCCAGATTGCGGGGAAACAGGAAGGATGGGGATTGGAGACAGGAACGAAAGCAATCACTAACGATGCGTGGCACCATTCACCAATCTACAAGCTGGGAACACTACACGGGTCTGGGTGCAGTTTCCCCCTCCAGGCAAGGGTACCTAGACCCGGGGCTTAGATTACGCTTGGGGAGTGTGATTGTGTGTACAGTTTCTCTTTATGTCTGTCTCCATGTTGGGGGCCTGGTGCCTGGGCTTGCTCGGGGCCACTTCGGGGGTGGGGTGCCCTCGGCTCCCCACACCCTCTAGCAGATCATTACATGAAGGAACCTTTTAAATACAAGCGCTCACGCTCACAGGTGTACACACGGGTGATCACACCCACAAACTACACCCTTTTTTGGCTTCTACCTCAAAGCACACTGTGTTCTGTTGATCTTATGTGCTGCACAATAATGTTTAAATATTTAGTATTTATGTCATATTTCCCATAGATCATCGTGATGTTGTTTATTGTATTGCTCTCGTTTTCTTCTGCTTGTTTCTTTTTCTTTCTCAACAGGTGATCCAGGTGATTGATAGATGTATTTTTTGTCTGCTTGTTTTGTTGGTTTTTGTTTTTTGCCCTTTATCCCCGTCCTCTTCTCCGCTGTTTTCTTTCCCTCTTTCTTTCTCCCCTTTCTTTTCCTCATTCAAGTCTGTCCCGTATTTAGCAAGTGAAAATAAAAAAAAAAATAAACAATAAAAGGTGAATCAAATAGCCATTACGGCAAGGCTGGGATGGTCCATTTGGTAAAGTAAATCTGTGGGCATCTTCTTTCATTATTATAGACAATAATTCTGATGGCAAAAGAGCCAAACGGACAGGCAAAAAAGAAAAAATGAAAAAACAAAACAAAACATATGGCCATAGAACTGAACATTTAACAGTGTTTCCTGAAAACCCTCTCCTGTCTGATCATTTCCTGATAACATTTACATTTACGATAATTGATTGCACAGCAGTGGGGAGTAGACTTTATCAAAGTAGATGTCTTTCTGAAAGCGCTGTAACTAATTTTAAGAATATAATCCACCCACTGTTATCATCTTCAATGTCCTGTACCAACACAGAGCAGAGCAGCTATCTGAACGCTACCCCAACAGAGGTCGATCATCATGTTAATAATTTTACCTCCTCACTACGTACGACTGTATGTCAAGGTGGTATCGAGTGGTCTCAAAAAGCCGACTAAGAGCAGATGCATTGTTGCTACAATACAATTGTCTGCTACTAGCCAGTTATAGCCCTCTGCACCAGTCTGCTGCTGTAGCAGAGCTGCAGACCATACAAAATAAACACATAAACATATAGCAGATATATTTGACTTTTAGTGACCTCTGACCTCCTGTTGCAGGTGTGTGTGTGCTGCTTCTGTCTGCACCGACTGTTTCTGCAGGTGAGGTGATGAAGTGAAAACAATCAGTGAGACTCCAACAAGAACACAAATACACTTACTCTGTGTGTGTGTGTGTGGTGTGTGTGTGTGTGTGTGGTGTGTGTGTGTGTGTCCTCCATGTCTCTGTCTGTCAGTCCAAACCTTCAGCAGTTCTTCACTGGATCTTCTTCAGTGTCTCTGAGTTGTGTTGGTGATGGATGGACAGTGAGGAGGACCCAAAGGAGGACTCACTGAGGACTGTGGAAAAGTTGTACAGACTTTGAGAAGGTTAACAGTTCCTTCTGTCGTCTGTATCTCTCCATCTCCTCTAATGAAAGTTACTTCTGTGAGGACTCATCTGGACAGCAGAGTGATAAAGTCTCCATCAGTGTTATAGGTACAAACAGATGTTCCAGCTGTGTCTCTGTTGGTGGAACTCTGTGTCACTCTGTTTGTGTCTCTGTTGAACAGACAAAGGTTGATCCTGGAGATCCCTGCACTTCCTGTCATGACAGGAAGTGGTGTCACTCTGTCTTGTAAACCCAGAGATGGTTCAAGAAGAAAATCCTATTTCTCCCGAGATGATGTTAAACTTGGATCTAGACCTGAAGGAGAGCTGGTTCTGTCTAAAGTCAAGCAGGCTGATGAAGGTCTCTATTCATGTACTACCGATCTCCATCCACACTCTCCTCAGAGCAGATTGAGGGTCAGAGGTCAGGAGACTGACATCACTTCCTGCTTAAAGACATGCACATGACTTGAATACAAACTGATCACTGTGTGGATCATCTTTATCATTTCTCCCACAGATCCTCCTCTTCCTCCCACCACCACAACCTCTCCTCCTATTTCTCTCTCTATTCTCTCTTCTTCTTCTACTTCCTGTTGTACTCTCCCTCCCTTCTCTTCCTCTCCAGACTCCTTGTCCTCTTCCTCCTTCCTTCCTTTTTATCTCCTGGTCCTCCTGGTCCTGGTCCCGGTCCTGGTTGGAGCTGTGGTTCTGTGGAGGAAACAGAGAGGTATGACTCACTTGGACTAACCAGGTAACCCCTTTCACCTGAAGCTCTTTGATGGTGACAGTCAGACTTTACTCTTGATGATCTGATGATCTACTTCCTGTTTCTAACTGAGATGATGCTCAGAGCAGCAGAGAGCTGCCAGCTGATCTCCAATCTCCTTTAGATGCTAAGCTTCTCTCATTCTGGAGGTGGAGGTGGTTCTGATGTTCGTGGTCAGCTGTAGTCAACAGTCAGACTTCAGGACAACAACAAGTAATTTATCTTCACAATGATACAATCTAACAATCACAGCGGGTCTCTGAAGAACTGAGGGCCTTTTCTCAATATGCGTACTTCTGCGTACTTGCGTTCTCGTGTACTCGTGAATAAGTCATCAGTCGGAGACCAAGTACTGTTCCAATTCAAAGTACGCATCAAGCCGAGAATGCGAAAAAGTCCCGGATGTGTTTTCGCTTCGTCTGTTTTATCGAGCATGTATCAGTGGTGACTTGTGTGTACTTGTTACAGCTAAATATCCCAGAATGCATTTCGTCCAAAACTGAAACGCGGCAATGGCTGACGAGCGGGGCTAAAAACGTTAAATATTACACTTTCTGGGTCACAAAATAAACTTTTAAGTTATTTTCAAACGAGAATGTAGCTGTGTAAACTTCAAATATCTGCTCGATTTATCAAGATATCATATATTTCCAAACGTGCTCCGACGTTTTTTGAGATGTCTGTGACCCACCAGCTCCATAGCAGACCACGAGGTCGAAGATCACTAGAGCTGGCGAGAACAGCGGACTCCCGGCACATCGTTTTCAACCCCCCGCGGTCTTTTCGCTACTCAGGTTAAACAACCCCAAACCCTAGCAACTGTCTATTTATTGAGTGTCCACTAAAATAAAAAACAAAGTTTTCTAACATCTCACCTGCTTGATTTTATTAAGGCATACATGTACACTATTTTTAGTAGTAGAGATTTCGCTACTGAGGTTAAACACGATATATAAGTCACTTAGATAACTTCTAAATGTTAATGTTTAGGTTATTTCGTGTTTTATTTGTTCCCGAGTAAATTGTTTGGCTGTGATTAAAGTTAAGTTTCATAACACATTAATCACAGTTAAATTAAGAGGGGACGGCAGTAAAAACTCCGGACCTGTGACATCATCAAGTACGCTGGTGATCCAATTGTACAAATCGCGAGTCCGTGCTCGCGTTCTCGGCAAGTCCGGACTCGCCGAGACGTAGCACGGACTCGCATACTTGAGAATTGAGAAAGGGTCTGAGTGTTGGTGAAGTCCGTTTGCTGAGTTTCCAAACTCAGAGCAGTGACCATTTAGGGATCAGGTTGGATTAGGATTTGGTCTTCCTGAATGTACACAGTGGAACAAAAAAGTATTTAGTCAGCCACCATTGTGCAAATTCTCCACTTAAAAAGATGAGAGAGGCCTGTAATTTCATTATAGGTATACCTCAAGTATGAGAGACACGATGAAAAAAAATATCGAGCAAATCACATTGTCTGATTTTTAAAGAATTTATTTTCAAATCATGGTGGAAAATAATTATTGGTCAATAACAAAAGTTCATCTCATACTTTGTTATATACCTTTTGTTGGCATTGACAGAGGTCAAATGTTTTCACACACTTTTGCTGGTATTTGGCCATTCCTTCATGCAGATCTCATCTAGAGCAGTGATGTTTTGGGGCTGTCGCTGGGCAACACAGCTTTGTGTTGGGATCATTGTCATGCTGAAAGACCTATCCACGGTATGATTCAATGCAGAGAGGTCTATTAACACATAGTGAGTGAGTTTTTTTGGACTTCCTGATAATAATAATTACAGTCGTCCAGCCTGGAAGTAATAAATGCATGAAGTAGTTTTTCAGCGTCACTCTGAGACAGGATATAGACACTCTGAGACTTGTGTATTTCCTGAGAGTTTGCAAAGTCTACAAAGCTGTCTTGGTTGATTTCAAACTCTGTGCGCTCCTTTTGTCAGAAGGCCGTAAATTCGGCTTATTGGTCAAATCAATGCCATCGCCCTATGTTTCAGTGGCCGTAGCAAAAGCCTCCTACTCTGGGATGAGTTTGAGATCGCTGCTGGGGGTTACAGTCAGGGAGAGATTTCCACTAGGTGAAAGTCAGGCCGGGGAGAGCTTGGCGTTGACCAGAGCAGGGGTCAAAACCCCTGAACTCACAGGGATCAGGTTAAACCCCGCCTCCCACGCGTACTAATTGACAGAGCGAGAGCCTGGCTTTTTGATCCGTTTTTTTTCCTCATTGTTAAAATCTTGTTTTATTACCAGATCATGTAGGGGTCCCAGGTCAGGGTTGACACAGTGAGTAAGACAAATTGTCATTTTAACCAGACCGAGAGTTGTAAGAAGATGCATTAAACTTCTTCTAGGGGATCCTATATATGGATCCTTAGAGCAAAATACTAAGGATTTTTTTAAGGGGGACCCTGTGAACAAATATTAAGGGTTTATTTTGAATGCTGTGATCTTATTCTAAGGAACTTTGTGACTCGGACTTTGATTCTGAATTTCCTATTTCGGATTAAACAAATCCAAATAAAATGTAATAAACTTTTCCGTTGGGGCATGCAGCCTCAAACTCTCCCCATCCTCACTGTTACAAAAGAACTAGTTTAACTAAGCACTTTACTATGGTTTAACACATTTACACACACACACACACACGGGCCCATAAAACAGATGGCATTTTTGGCTATAAAAGTAAACTTTTTTTTATTTTGATTGGGACCCACACCCGTTTTCCACACCTTGGCTCATGTGATTAGGTAGAGGATCATCAAGGGGTCCTTTGTCCCTCTTTTGGGGAAACTCCCACTGGGTTTAAATCTGGGACTCTCCACCATTTGACCCTAGAACTGAAGAAGCTTCTCGGATGAGAGGTGAAACGTCTTCAAGGAACTTAAAGAAGTCCAGACGCTTTTCTTTCCAAGCTCCTTAGACTACGATGACCTGGATGACTGAGAACCTTCACAGACATAAACTTTTTTTTGCCTTCTTGTTAGAAAAAATCAATATTTTACAAATCATATTTTTTTGAATTATTGAAAATAAACGAGTTATGAATTATCCTAATTTCATGAATATCATATTTTTAATGACTACCATAAATGTTATTACTTCTTTTATTACGTCCTAGGTTATGAATCATTTTATTGTGGTCATTAATTACTCGTTTTGACATAAGGGGTTTAATAACCATCCTCACAGAGAGTTGCAGAATGGCTGCAATCACAGCATTGTAAGATGGTGACAGATGTACCCTAAGGCCAATTCCTTGATTCAGAGATAGTCGTTTCTTTTGTTACGGTTTTTAGCAGGGCTTCCTGTGAAAGTGACCTTGTGTGGGTGTGTCCTGCCGTCGCTCTTGCCATAGATGCACCTTTTTTGTACAGCTGAATCCCATCAGCAATTAAAAGTACTTAAGCCAGAGAAAGATGAGCTTTAGTGCCAGAGAACCATGTTTTGCAGCTCTTTTGGTTACTAACCCTTTTTGACTTACTTTTAAGTTTATTGACCACTGTCATGGTATGCGATGGCAGACCATAGAGAAAGTAGGACCTAAACACAGGAGGCAAAGGAGCTTGTAAAGAAAAGCGTCTGGACTTCTTTAAGTTGCTTGAAGACGTTTCACCTCTCATCCGAGAAGCTTCTTCAGTTCTAAGGTCAAATGGTGGAGAGTCCCAGAAACATGCGGTTATCCTAAATGGGCGTTCTTAAAGTCAGCAAAGAGGCACAGAAAAGAAGACCAGACACCAGCGAGGGAGGATAAGAAAGACAGACGCAACAACATTGTCATCCCCTATGTAGCCGGTGTATCAGAAAAACTCAGGAGAGTTTTCTCCAAGCACGACATCCCAGTGCTTTTCAGACCCAGCAACACACTCAGACAGAAACTGGTTCACCCGAAAGACAAAACGCCAAAACACAGACTTAACAATGTGGTGTATGCTGTACAGTGCAGCGAGGAATGCTCAGACTCTACATTGGAGAGACCAAACAGCCACTTCACAAGCGCATGGCACAACATAGAAGAGCCACCTCCACATGACAAGACTCAGCAGTCCATCTGCATCTAAAGGTCAAAGGTCACTCTTTTGAGGATGCCAATGTTCACATTTTGGACAGAGAGACAGATGGTTTGAAAGAGGAGTGAAAGAAGCCATCTATGTCCACTGTGAGCGACCATCTTTGAACAGAGGCGGGGGTTTACGACACCAACTCTCTGCCATCTATAATCCAGTTTGAGATCCCTTCCCAGACGCCTTAACGCCCACTCACATCCTGGGCCATCTGATCTCAGGAATTCGCATGATAAGGTGGGGCCAGTTTCACAATGAACTCACCCGAAACTCTGGCTGATTGGGACCCACACCCAGTTTCACACCTTGGGTCAGGCGATTAGAGGATCATCAGGGGGTCTTTTTGTCCCTCTGTGGGGGGTTACTCCCACTAGGTTTATATCTGGGACTCTCCACCATTTGACCTTAGAACTGAAGAAGCTTCTCGGATGAGAGGTGAAACGTCTTCAAGCAACTTAAAGAAGTCCAGACGCTTTTCTTTGCAAGCTCCTTTGACTACGATGACCTGGATGACTGAGAACCTTCACAGACTAAACACAGGAGGTTTATTGCTCCCGTTGCGATTTGTCCCTACAATCCCACACAGTGCGAATGTCCATTGAGGGTAAAAAATGAATCTGCATAAATGAATGGATTTTTTTTTGTACCAAAATTGTAAATCTTCTTATGATTTTATGAAGTCAGCTGTTCTATTTGCATTTTTCTCCTAACCAACTATTATTTTCTCTGGCTCTCAAGGACAAGATGGCGCTTGTGATTGGCAATGCAGCTGCCAGGGCCTCTATTATTTTGGTTTTATGCGGTATTATCTATATTGCTGCTCTCTGTGGATGACTTTGTAGCTGCCTGTCAACATACTTTGCTGCAGATTACATCAGCCATGGAGTGTA